CGACTGAAAACAGGGAGAAAGCAATAAGGAGGATTTATCTGCATTTGAAGACTTAGTTTTGTTTCTTTTTGGGGTTTTGTTTTCTGGTGAGGGAGGACTGGGAGCACTGTAAATAAACTGCACTTATTTTACTTATAATGGCGGAGCCATTCTGTTATAAAACGGACCTGATTCGGCCTACCCCAGGCCATTGTGTGACAGAGGGTTTTGTTATCGAATACCCCTGTCGGGGTTTATTGATCGTCACCTTTTGTATGGCCTCAGAGTACAGCTGCTCAGGAGACCTCCCCTTTTCCGATTTCTCCAGCGCGTAGCCCAGAAGGTCGGGGTTCTTGTTAATGTCGAACACCCTGTGGAGCCCGCCGTTGGTGAAGTACCAGGCGCTGTCGTCGGCTTGGATGAACTCGGATAATTTGAGCCCGTAGTGTTGAACGTAGTGATGGACGAGTCTGGAAAGGTCACAGGAGACGCAGAACGTCTAAACGCGGAGGCGAGACGCGATCGCGTGTTTATATTGCAGTCTGATATAGCTCCAGCAGAGTTTTGTGCTAAAATCCAACAGCGGTACCAACCAGATGTGCTGAGGGTGTTGTTTGCTGCAGATATTTAGGAACTTGGGGGTGTGGGTACTGGGAAGAAGTCACAGATGACTAAGGAATACGGATCAGCACAGAGGAACAGAGTGACACGGTGTAAAAGGAATATGACTTTAGATATTTTGCCCAGAGCTACGTTTCAATCCCAGGATCATTCTAGCCTTTTAATGGGTGTAATTGCAACACTGCCCCCTGTCTGCACTGCTCTGTCACTTCATCCCCCTCCTCCTCCTGCTGTTAGGCAGGAGTAGGAATGCAGTGTTTAAATTTGCATACCTCTTTTCCCTCTTGGTAAATATTTACAGTTTAACCACCTTGTCACATTTGTCAGAAGTCAATCCAACCTGCCTAGTAGCTTGTCAGACGAGTAAATGAATGTAAAAAGAATTCGACATAATGCTTTCGAACGTGTTTGGGAACATTGTGGAATTCTGGTGGAACAGGAACTTTCTGGGTTTTTAATCCACTGTTCAAATCACTGTTCATTAACGCAGAAATGCCAACCACTGTTCATTAACTCCAAGTACACTTTGAATGCAGTGTAGACACCAGAGGTTGGCATCCCTTTTGGGCAGGAGGGCCAGAAAAATGCTGTCTGCCTATAAAGGTGTTGGTAGGCAAAGTGTTATGCCTCTGGGCTCGTGCACATTAGGGATGACAATGACAAGGCAATGACAATTCACCCTTCACTGGCTGGGAAATTTTGCAGCTGCTGCAGGAATCACAGTTACCTTGTTCTGCCAATGTGTTAAATTGTTAAAAAATAGTGAAGGACTAGAGCTTCTTCAGCTGGTTCATCTCACGCCTCATCACACCCTGAAACGAGCACTGCAGGGAAACACTCACTCGTGAGTCGAGGGAATTCTCATGGCGCCCAGCTCCGCGTACCAGCCCCTGGTCTTGTTCCTGTGGGTGAGAATGCGCCCCCCGACTCGGTCACTGGCTTCCAGGATCTGCACCTGTAGGAAAACGCACCACTGTGGCATCAGAGGAGAGCAGTAACAGCACTTAGCTGCTGATTGATGAGGCCTGAGCACAAACAAAAGGAATTATTTTGAGTGTTTCCACGGATCAGCGGTTCCGGAGGAACCTAATTATGAAAAGCATAAGCTTGGAACAACGCCACCCCTCCCCCCCAGGAGCTGAGCCCGAGAGAGTGTTGGGATACCGTACGTCATGCCCGACGTCCTCCAGGAGCTTCGCCGCGATCAATCCGGAGATCCCCGCCCCGACGATCAGGAATTTCTTCGCCGGGCCTTTCCGGATCAGGCCGTGCTTTGCGATGTCCAGCAGGAACTCGGAATCCTTGTCGTGGAAGCACCTCTGGATGGCGCTGCTGTACGCTTGCCCCTGTGCCAACAGCGCCAGGAAGCAGCCCAGCAGGGTGACTGGGGAGAGAAGAAGCAAAAACAGACTCGATCTTCATTTAGGCAAGCGACACAGAAGGACTAACATGTGCCATACAGGACAAAGGAGTTATAATAATAATAATAATAATAATAATAATAAAATATGATAAAATAATAACTAATAAAATATTAACCTGGGATTATACATATAATAATAAATTATAATAATATAATAAATTGGAATCACCTTTGCAATTATTACACAAATACTTGTCTCTGTGAGTTTGACAGACAATCCACTAGCCCCGGGCACTCAGACATCCTAGGAGATCTCAGCTTTCTACTTTTGCTTGCGAGCTCAGGTCGTGTGAACGAAACTGATTTCCTCTGTGCGCTTTTGTTTGAGGGTTCACTCCCAGCGATCGGCCTTGCTGCTGTTGGGGGGCCACAAAGGTAAGATACAGGACCAGGGCAAATACAACCCACTGTGCCGTGTGGCGAACGGCTAGCTCTGGCGACAGCGGGCGATTTAGAATTGAGATGCTTTGGATGTTTTATTTATTTTCAGTCCTGCGGATTCCCATTGCATTGTACTCTGCCACCATTTCCTGTGTAATAACGTCCAGGACTGCCCTTCAGTCATGTGCTTAGACAGATGGTAGCTGTGTGTGGGCGTGGCCGGTTCAAGAGTTTGTAAGGAAGGGCGAGGCAGTGTTAAAAAACAAATCTTCCATTCCTGAGTGGGGCTGGTTTCATCTTGATGCGGGTGGGCGTGACGTGCAGAGGCAGGGTAATCTGAAGGCGCTCGGCGGCTGATTAGCATCGCTGACGATTTGAGCAACTCAGTTCTGCGTTGGCTGCTGTAAAGAGACCTGGGAAACCTCCAGTTCAGACACACCGAGTCTGTGGGACTCCAGATTGGCCAGCCTTCGAATGAGATAACCCTCCAGTTATACCCCCTGTACTGCAATCGGAAAGGACTGTACTCGAAAGAACCCGGTAAAGGTTTATTCCATGCATCTATGAACTGGCTTCATTACTCTGCTCTCCTCCCCACTGAGAGCTGGGGTGTGGGGAGCGTTCTGGCGCCTCATCCAGGTGGGGGTACACACTGGTGGTGGTGGAGGGGATCCCCATTACCTGTAAAGCGCTTTGAGTGGAGTAATAATAATAATTGCTTACACTTATATAGCGCTTTTCTGGACGATCCACTCAAAGCGCTTTACAGGTAATGGGGATCCCCTCCACCACCACCAATGTGCAGCCCCACCTGGATGATGCGACGGCAGCCATAGTGCACCAGAACGCTCACCACACACCTCAGTGGGGAGGAGAGCAGAGTAATGAAGCCAATTCATAGAGGGGGATTGTTAGGAGGCCATGATTGATAAAGGCCGATGGGAAATTTGGCCAGGACGCCGGGGTACACCCCTACTCTTTTCGAGAAACACCCTGGGATTTTTAATGACCACAGAGAGTCAGGACCTCGGTTTTACGTCTCATCCGAAGGACGGCGCCTGTTTACAGTCTAGTGTCCCCTTCACTATACTGGGGCATTAGGACCCACATGAGCCGCAGGGTGAGCGCCCCCTGCTGGCCCCACTAACACCTCTTCCAGCAGCAACCTTAGTTTTTCCCAGGAGTCTCCCCTCCAGGTACTGACCAGGCTCCCACCTGCTGAGTCTCCAGTGGGTTGCCAGGTTTGAGTTGCAGGGTGATATGGCTGCTGGCCATAAAAGTGCTATCTAAGTGTAAGCAATTATTATTATAATTATTATTAATTAAAGGAAAAGAGGCACAATGTTTCGGCTGTGGAGCCTTACTCAGGTGTCATTGTGAGTATATGATGTCACTGCATCAGCGAACTCATTCAGATCACAACCAGCCTCCTTAAAAGATGCTGCAGTCAGTGATCTCAACACAATCACTGAGCACATTCTTAGTCTCAGATGATCACTGTTTTACAGTTCCTAGACTTGGTTGACATGCTTTAAATCTCTGTCTGTAGTTTGGGACAAGAAAGACCATATTATGATCCGATTGAACGAGAGGGGCGTGGACAAACGCTCAGTATATCTCAGAAATGCATCAGCTTGCGTAAGCTATAAAGGAACAGGTAAAGGTTAATTCACACACCCAAAGAAGACTCCAGACCCGAAATATTGTGTCCCTTTTCTTTTCAGCCTAGAATAAACTTTTACTTGTTCCTTTGCAGCCTACGCCTGCTGCGACAGCTCAAAAGAACCAGCCTGAGTAACTGTTGTCCTCACATTGTACACTAATTATTGTGTAAACGCTGACAACTGTTCAATTGTCAAGTTTGTGGCTGCATGTTGCCTTGATTGGACTTTTGAGTGAGGACAAAAAATCAATTACAGACAGGAGATGCATCTCTTTTTTTTTAATAGCTGGTGTCAGGATAATTCGCTGTCTTTAAACGCCAACATAAGAAGTCTGATAAGCAATGATCATTAAATTTAGAAAGAAATGTTCTATTCCTATGAACCCTGGAGCTGTGAATGGAACTGATATTGCACGAGTAAATGAATATAAATACCTAGCACAATACAGAAGCAAGGGTGCAACGCAGGTTGTATTTTTTAAGAAGGTTAAAGAGGTTTTGTGTAATAGCATAATGGTGGCACTTTTTATAAGAATTTTAGTGGGGAACATTCCAATCTTTTGCATTCAGATCTGGGGATTTGTTCTGGCAGAAAAACAACATGTTAGAAATGCCCTCTGGGTGAAAGTACCAGATCCCCTGTCTAAAGACTCTTTTACCAAAAACTTCCTTTATACCAAAAAGCATTCAGGAGTTGAACAATGAAAAAAAAAATGTTTGCAGGGAGGGGTCTTATAGTTGAGGAAGAATTTTAGCATTTACCTTTTTTTTAAGTGTATAAGATAGTGACTAGTTGGCTTTAAAAAATGCTTTTTACCCAGCAACAGTATGAGAGAACAATTGCAAGCATATTATTTGACATTTAATGGTACAACCGCAGAATGTCTAGCTCATTTCACACCTTTTATTTATATACTTCCTTTTGTCTGTTTGCAAGGTAGAACTGTGGTCAATTACAAAGAAATGTTTTTAGAGAGAAAAAAACAACTCCTAATACAGTATGGAAACTTAGAAAGAGCTTCCTGTGTGAATTTCCTGTATAAAACTCATTGCATTTACCATCTCGGTGGAGCGGTTACTCACAGATCTGTATGAGAGGCTGCTCTAAGGTCTGCATGATTAAATCCTCCCCATGCGCATGTATAAAGGGACTCTGCTTGACCACACCTAACCTGAGTGAAGACTTTTCTTCGACATAGTGATTGTCTGTTTTTCATCTGATGGTGCTGGAAGAGCTCTGATTGAGCAATGTTGGTGGTAATAATAATAATAATAATAATAATAATAATAATAATAATAATAATACACTTTTTTTATATAGCGCCTTTAAAGGTGGCTTCTCAAAGCCCTTTACAGGATGACAACAACAATAAATAAGAAGAACACACCAGATAAAACACAATGACAATACACAGAGGAGACCGTGGATGGAGGTACTAAGAAAAACAGAGGGGTGAAGAATGGAACCAGTTCAGTAAAGGCTCTTCTGAAGAAGAGGGTCTGGAGTCTGGATTTGAAGGAGTTTAGAGAAGGTGACTCTCTGATATCCCTGGGGAGAGAGTTCCAGAGCTTGGGGGCATAACAGGAGAAGGCCCTGTCGCCCCTACAGTGTAGACGGGCTTGGGGGGACAGTAAGGAGGGCAGAATTCGAAGAGCGAAGGTTGTGAGGTGGGGAGTAGGGCGATAATAGCTCAGACAGGTACTGAGGTGCCAAGCCATTCAGAGCCTTATAGGTGAGCATGAGGATTTTACAGTCCACACAGAATTTGACCGGAAGCCAGTGCAAGGACTCCAGGATAGGAGTAATGTGAACACTTGCACTAGACCTGGTCAGGATTCTGGCTGCTGAATTTTGGACATACTGGAGTTTGTAAGGTAAGTGGTGGTTTTGTATCCTGGCATTGTGCTGTTGCTGCATTGTGTTGTGGGTGTATATGCGATATGTTAATGAGCTCTTGATGTGCAAGACGAATTCCCTCAGGAGACAATGAAGGTTACATCAACTCAACACGCATTCGTGACAAAAATATGCCAAAGGACCTGAGAAGCTCCTGGTATATATATAAAAAAAGTCCTCTGCTATTTCCTTCATTCCTAAAAAAGCTCCACAAGCAGGTGCTCTTTCGGTCTATGTGGAATTAGACCTGTTCTTCTGCATCACAGAGACTAACACAGCTCCGTGCTCGAACCCTCACCTGTACACTGTATACAATGGCTTGCGCTCTGTGTGAGAGGATCTGTTAGCCCTCGACAAAGGGGACTGTTTGCGAATCCTAATGAAGGGACAGCCTGATCAGAACTGCCTCTAAAACTGCACACTTTGCAAGGGTGATGAATTTGCACCCCTTAACAGGATGAAGCTGCAGTCAAAAATCAAAGGGAACAATTAAAATCAGAGGCTACAACTGTCTATTATTCAGTCTTGGAGAATGTTCTCATCCTTTTACATTTGCTAAGAAGCCAGATTCTAAGTTTTAAATCTCAAGATGAGCCGAAACCTGTCCAGCATCGCACATGATCTAAGGCAGAGAGGAAAAAAAATCGAAAGAGCATATTTACGTGCAGGTGACACCGCGGTCCCGGGCCGCATATTGCCGTCTGTTCTAGAAAGAAAAAAA